GAGAGACGAAACGTTTCATTAAAGAAGAACCCGTCCAGAGGACCTATACAATTTTTTTCCTTTTGTTATGTATATGTATATATAAATTTAATTGTGACTGATAACATTGTAGCTATCTATGACTAGGGAAAAACTGTTGTTGATGTTCCAAAATGTATGTAGAGAAAGTAGTGTGGTTTGATTATATGTAACAACAACCTGCCGTACAAGTGAGCGTAAATAAGCAACATTATGCATCTTTTGGTTTTCCTACAATATACTTTGACATTACTGTTTAGTTTAGTTTAGTTTAGTTTAGTTTAGTTTAGTTTAGTTTAGTTTAGTTTAGTTTAGTTTGTTCAAAAGCTTTTATTTTGACGGTCATGACGCGTTATTTCCTGTATGGTTGAGCTTGATGCCGCTCTTCTCCCTTTATATCCGAGAGGTAAGAAGCGACAGAGATGCTTTGCGCATGCGCACAAACGGAGGCGGATGCGGCAGCCGAGCATCAGCTGCATGAAGACGTCAGACAGACCGGAAATGGACCGCCCTGTGGACAGTCTTCAGTGGAGTAAGCGCAGTAAAAGTATTGTAAGTGTATTTTATAGGAGAAACCTGCAGTTTACGTCGAGTCGCCGATGAAACACTCGCCTAAAACTTTGTGAAGGTGATCCAACCTTCAGCTCCACATCGATATAGACCTGAGATGAAGGTAGAACGGCAGCGGAAGTGTTTTATTTTGACAGTCTTGAGGATAATTTGGGTGTTTCTCCATCTTTCTTGACTCTGTAGCTCGGCTGTTCCGCCGGCTCTTCTCCTCCGTCGGTCTAACATCCCGTTGTCGTCTGCCTCCTGTATGTGACACACACACACACGTGAACAGCTGAGCGCATCGTTGTCCTCGCGCGCCTCTCTGACATGTCTGCGCGAGCGGAGACGACTCCTCCGGACTCGGTCCACTGACACCCCCCAGGCCCCGTCCGAACAACTTGTTCCTGTGTGAGGATGATGAGGAGCCGCTGAGAGGACAGGGCAATCACTGGAAGGATGAAGATTTGGACCACTGAACATGTCTTCAGGTTGGTCCTCGAGGATGTTGCCTGGTGACTCAGTCAGTGACTGACTTCAATCAGATGCTCTTAAATGACTGTTTCCGGTCTGTAAACTCAACTTGTCTTATAGTGAACCATCAGGGGCGCCTATAGGTTGTTTTAAAACCACTGCTAGTCAGTTTGTCTCAAAGCACCATGTGAATATTGTTTGATTTTGTAATCAATGCACACTATTGTGATTCGTTTCCCATCCAAGTCATCTCAACTTTGCCATGCTTCTCCTCCTGCATACTTTGTCCTACAGCTGCCATTGTAATTTATATCTGTAAAGCTCCTGAGCCAAATGATGGCTATGCCTTTTGGTGCCTGTAAAACTTATAGTTTATGAAATATTAATGTTTAATGAATTATAATGGCAGTCAATGGAGCCTTGTATTGGTCCAATACTGCCCCATGCTGTACTCAACTTGGTACTGCACCATAGTTTAATATTTCAACTCAGTAGTTCAGTGTTTACAGTACTAATATGATTGTATTTTGATGTTTTACTATAATATTGTCTTAATACTGCTCGATTGTTGTAATATTATGCATTTTTGTGTCAATAATTGTATTGGTAATGTGGCCTCTTTCTGCACGCATACAAACCAACCCCTGCCATCATCTTCTGCCACAGCTCCATTGGTCTAATGGTCTATGTCATGGACTTTCATGTGGGAGAACAGGGTTCAAAACCCAGCTAATGCAACTTTAACAAAACGTTTCTTCAAATTTCATATTGTCACACAATTACCTTAATTACAAACACCTGCTGATGTGACAGGCACAAGCTGGTACAGAAAACGCATTTGAACATGGTCAAAGTTCCTTCTGCAAGTCCTATGCTGCAATGACATGCTACATGGCAATGCACACTTGTTTTTACATCGTAAAAACCCATGTCTAGTTAGTGTTACAGCCTGTTGCATTTTGTTCTGGTCTGTGTGCAGTTACCCCTGGGAAACAGTGATCAAGGCTGCCATGAGGAAGTACCCCAACCCCATGAACCCCAACGTGCTCGGCGTAGACGTACTGGATCGCAATCTGGACTCAGAGGGACGCCTTCACAGCCACAGGCTCCTCAGCACAGAGTGGGGCTTACCGGGTATCGTACGAGCGGTCAGTCACAAATGTTTTAAAGCTTATCTCCATGTTCCGTATTGTGCAAAACGTTTCAATTTCTACAGATTGTGTATTTATTAATTTTTCATATTTTTGCTTCCAATCAGCTAGACTACTCTGGTAATTATTTAAGGTGTTCCTAATAAAAGTTGTTCAAACTTTCTGAAGGTCTTGCAGAGTTTTTACTTGGATCTTCTTTCCTTCTTCTTATGTTGATCATGTACAAGAACTGGAGAAAATAAATAAATAAATAAATGAAAAATGCAGCCAAGGTCTAAAGAGAAAACTTCTAAAATATTAGATAACTATTGCTAAAGACCACTTTAAAAGATTACAAAAAAATCTCTATCATATAAAGCATGGGTGGGCAATACTGGTCCTCGAGGGCCGCAGTCCTGCATGTTTTATGTTTCCCTGCTCCAACACACCTGATTCAGTCACTGAATTACCTCTTCCAAGTCCTGCTGTATGGAGGACCGACACTGACATAATTAGAATTAAAAGCAGAAACATATAAATGAACCACTAAATAAATAAATAC